GTTATTTTACGGTGATAATCTTGTTTCTTGTGCCCAATAATGCATAATTTCATTTGATAAACACGTTTAGATTGAATGGTAATTTATAATCAGTCACAAGAACGTCGAATCTGAATCACTTGAAAAAAAACATGGGGGTGCTTAACTTTTTTCCAGGTGTATAGTTTTATTTAAGAAAAGACTTGTATCGCCGAAGAAATTATACGGGAAATTAACAAACGAACACAGACGTAACAATATTTTTATTTTTCAATAATACCAGACTTGACATCTGTTAGAATATCTGTCTGCAAAACACATGCCGGAGTTGTTGTAGCTGATGAAGCAAACAAAGGCTCATGTTGTGTCAAAATGCTGGATTTATCCCCTCTGTATTCGCTTTATGTTTTTAAACAGAAAGCTATCTTGTTCTCTTAAGACTGAAATAGTATTTACTCGAGCATCTTGTTTAGAAAATGAATAAAATGTACAACAGTCACGATATAGTTTAAAAACACTTTGCATTAGTGCTTCAGAAACTCAGCAAAATAGAAATGCACAAAGATCTGAAATGTAACTATTGCTTTCATTAGTTTATTGTATATATCTACATAAAGTTAACTACACCACAAAAAGTTAGAATAAAACTATTCATTTTACAAAATTCAGCCTAGCATTTTCACCACTTAAAAGCATTTACGAATTTTTGTAATACATGCAACCGGGGAAAAAATATCACATAAGTTAAATTTTAATGTTTCAGTAGTTTAAATTATCTTACCTACGCAAATACCAAATGTCGGTTTTGGTCAATATGATTGTGTAATCATCGGCTATCACTAACGGCCAAGAAAATCTTAATCAGGCCCCCCAGTGGCACGTCTGCAGACTTATACCGCTAGAAACTGTGTTTCGATACCCGTGGTGGGGAGTGCACAGATAGCCCCTTTGTGCTTAATAACAAACAACAATCTTAATCGGTGCACACCTAATAAATAATAATATAATGCAAATATTCGTAACTAAAAAATTAACGTTTCCTTATTATTTTTTCATAATGCATCAATTTAAGCACTTGTGGTTATTCTCACGAAAAATGACCTGTAGGTCGATAAAAATATTCGTTACGTCCCTGCGCTTGTGTATACATATTCAGGAATTCATAGTGATTTCTACTTTTCAACTAAACCTAAAGGCTGGTTAGTATGGTCGATTACAAAATTTAAGCACATTTTCCAAAGTTTGCATTTTTTTTTAATTGAAAAATATTTGTTTTTGCAAATCAAGTACTTTCATGAATTTCAAACACCCGTATGAGCTTTTGTACAATTTTTAAAACAATTTCAGAATACAGACAAACACTAAACAATAAAGGGCGCACTAAAATTACTGTATATTTGAGGTTGTTTTGTATTTTAACTATCAACTTCTTCCCGGAGAAACGGAAACACGTTAATACATGATGTTTTACACCGATTTCTGGCACTCCTTTTCCAGCAGTTCCTGTGTTACACATTTCCTGGTTTCACTGCGCAGGAGTGTTTGGTACATTATAGAATTGTTCTAGCTTGAAGATTCACAAACTACATATTAATCTTTCCCTTTGAAACATATTAGAACGCTTTCAAAATCGAAACTGTAACGTTTTCTTGATATTTTGTTTCTAGTCAAATCACCGGGTCATCTTAACCAAGAACTGAATTTTACCTTCACAGTAAATTGCCTTTTACAACAGACATTCGTTGGTTAGTGAGATATTAGGCATAGTACTTGCTATTCGAGGCACGTGATAGATTTCTTCAGCTGCTGGAGTTTGTTCGAAGTTCTGCAGGTGGTTTATGACGTCACATAAACAACAACAACGGCAGATGTTAGGAAGAAGCTGTAGACTATTTTGTTACTGGGTTGACAACAGATTCATCTACGCAGTATGGCTATAACCATAGTATGAGGGTTCCCTGCCCAGATCTGTAGTATTCTTAGTTATTTTCTTAATTATAAATACGCAAAACGTTTCATTGAGTTCATCGAATTCTTCAAACAGCCATTTTTGTCACGTCGTGTACTTAAAGCCAATATTTAGAAGCTATAGAGAAATAGGTAATGCAAAGAAAAATATTCATAGTTTGTAAGGTAGGTAATTCACTGTTCAGTATAGTATGTCAAAAAATTTCTTTTAAAGTTTTTCCTACGTGTACATAAAAATAGACGAGGCATCTTTTACAAAGTTTTAGAGATCAAACACTTGCTGGTGGTTCTTTTTGTTTGAAAAATGTTATGTGTTTTACAAACTGGTTATTGTTTTTTAATATTAGTCGCTATTATGGGTTTGCTTCCCAACATATTAACATAAGATTGACAACATTTATCATTAACGATCAAAAATACTGATTTAAGTTTCTCAATTTATGGTAATTTTGTGTGTGAAACATTAGAATGCATTCGAAAGTATTTTAACGTAAAGAAATTTTATTAAAATTAGTAGCAGAGACCTTCAAAACATTTGCGATCATATAAAAAATATTTTTACTGCAACTTGCAGTGCAACGTTACTTACTTAAATTAAATACAACTATTATAAGATCATAGGCCTAAACCACAATCGATTATACTTCCAGTTAAGTAACATAATAGGAAGTAATTGAATGCCAAATATTAAGCTGGTGTATTAGAACTTTATTTTTAAAATAATACAAAAAATTCTAATCGCAAATACCGAATTATATAAGTCCACTTGTTTTAGGTTTAACATTAGTTATACCTTTATTAAGTACAGCTTATATTCGACAAAGAAATAAATTACCACCGTAACTTGTATACGTTCTTCACTGTACAGTGTACTTCTGTTAGGGCTAAACTTTACCGTACTTAATAATATCAATAAATACTAATAATGTTACTCTACGACCAAACTTTAGATATTTTCATTGCGTAATTTAAATACTATGATGAAGAAAGAGTGGAAGTCCCCGGAATTTTTTAACAAAACTTCAAAACGTCATGTTTTTTACAGGTCTGACAAAGCTTGTTTAGTTGTTATTAATACAACATAGTCATAAACCATAACCAACTGCAATCTAAACAACAACCACATCTGATTGGTCAAAATATAATTTGTAAAATCAACTTTTCAACCACTCCTAATTTATAAAAACATATATTAGACACTAAATATGGAGACACTAAATTAAGAAATGAACAAATATATTCCAATTTTGTTCTTTAGACATTTCATTTTACACTTTTACAACACAGACTAACAACAATATCAGGTTATATTTCTGTTGCTAAGCGACATAAATGCCATTGTTGAAAACGTATAAGAAACAGTTTTATTTTAATAGTTTCATCTTGAGTTTACTTATTAATTATGTATTATTTTATTTCAAGTTGCGGCTTTTACTGTAAGTAAGATTATTCGATGACGAGGAACCCACTTTGAGACTAATAATGGTTGGAGACTGCTTGAATGGGTAATGAAGAAAAACTTTAATATAAGTTTAACATAACAGCAAATGTACAACGTTTCGACAAGGTTTTCGAAACGTTGTACATTTGCTGTTATGTTAAACTTATATTAAAGTTTTTCTTCATTACCCATTCAAGCTGTCTCCAACCATTATAAGTAAGATTATCTTTACAACAAGTACGATGTTTCGATCACTGGTGCAATCATTCTCATGCAATAGCAATAAAATTGTTCACATAAATTATCGTACTATATAGAAAATACAGGTGTCGGTGACGAGAAACTGATAAAAGACAATAACAGTTGTTATGGTGTAAATGCCTTTCGCTGAGGAAGTGTTATTATAATATATTGTATTTGTTATGATACAATAGTAGTAGGTTTATTGTATTTTTTGTGACATTATTGCCAAGGGAGTTAGTGAGATACTAAACTTTACAATAGTTATTAAGTAATACATTAAATTTTTTAATTATTAATTTTTTGAGATTGTTTCAACTAACGGGTGCCAATAATTTCTTCCACTGTGGCTACATTTATGATGATATATTTCAATCTTGTTTTTCTGAAGTCAAACTTAAAAATAACTTTCTGGTAAGTGTCACGACAGGAAAAAAAACAGGTTTAATCCATATAGCCCCCCAGTGGCATAGCGGTATGTCTGCGGACTTATAACGCTAGAAACCGGGTTTCGATACCCGTGGTGGGCAGAGCACAGATAGCCCTTTGTGTAGCTTTGTGCATAATCCAAACAAACAAACAAATAATCCACATATATATATATATTCACTACTGTTTTAGACAGTAACAAGTAGTCTACGATTATTAATCAGGAACATTTTTATATTTTGCTTGCCGTTGACAATAGTAAGTCGTCATTTAATTGATGGGGACGTCTGGTAATTTACCCCAGGACACCGTACTTTATGGTTAATGACTTTAGTTGTATGTGGTGATGATTAATCATTCTTTCTAGGACACACTGTATATTAATTCTAATAACTTTAGTTTTACTTATATTTATTATTTTCTTTTAAAGGAGTACAGAGATCAAGGCTGTTAAAGTCTCAACGTATTTGACGGTATTTACCTAGGATAAGTATATATTTTTGTAGCATACATCCTTCAGATTTCTTTACACCATGGCTACTTTTAGCAGTAGTCGAAGAAGAAATCTAATGAGGAAGTTTTTCCTAACATGTGTAATAACTCTGTTTTGGGAGTCGACTGGTGCTTTAGAAGAAACTGTCTCTACAAAGGAAAAACAAGGTCTGAAAACTGCCACTAGCATCCAAGAACCAAGTGAAAAGCTGTTGTCAAAACCAACTGAATCTAGGCTTACAAATTTCTCTATAACGCCGTCTCATGACCAGAACACTAACCAAATAGGAGCACTTTTAGAAAAGTTTAAAAACAATTTCACTGTGCAACCGATATATGAAGACAAGGTTTCTGGTGAAGAAGACTACCATACTCCTACTTCTAACTTTGACAATGAAAATGTAGATTTGCTGGAAATTTCTACTGTCAGTAACATTTCCCTAGTGAATAAAATCAGTGAGTTGAGCAAAACATATCCTGGTATTGTTGACACATCATCAGCGGGTGTGGACACGGTGTTATTTGTTGAGAAGACGAGAACTCCCCAGCAAAATGGCATGTATTATTATGTTAATATCACTATTATAGAACTATTAGACAGGGGCCTTTCATACTGCAATTACCCCTGACGATCTATTTTTATTTTCTTCTTGAATGAAATGGCGCGAGGCTTTAGGAAAGAGTTATTTATTTGAGGCATTAGAGGAAATATATTTTTGATGCTTTTTTTTTGGCACTTGACCTGTAAATAAGCCTCAAGTATTGGGATTGGATCTGTTAAATTAGTAAATTAATTGTTACTTAATCATGTTCAAAATGATCATAACATCAATACTTCTGACATTTGAACCAGATATTGTATTATAGCAATATTTATAGTCGTAAAAAAAGTGAGAATTCTTGTAACATACCTTCTTGAATCTAAAAAATATATTGCGGGCAACGCTTGGCAACGAAGCGTTAAAGACATATCCATTTCTCCTACTTGTGTTCTGTTTTAGACTTAAAAGGGTAACTAATGTCAACTTGTAAGAGTTATTGTTTCCCAAAAAACTTCTCATATTGAATTCACCAGATCAAATCAAATTTTAATATATGTGTTTTTATATAGGATAGGACCAATAGATAACATAGATTCACTTAAGATATTGATCATAAAGTATTACTGAAAATCTTACTAATGTAAAATGAAGTAAGAAGACTGGACACAAAGTTTGATACAAAAATGCACAATCTTAATAACAATAGTAGGTGCTTTTCGATTTGACGAACTGTTAAATGTTTATTTGAATAAACGTGTTTCTAATAAGTTTCATGCGCTGAATTCAAAAATATGTGTATTTATTTGGAGAAATGATAAGAAAGTAGTGAAAAGGTCAAACTTATTATTGTACTGATATTAGAATGTTGCTGTTACGTGTGTGCTTAAAATGTTGTACGGTTGGCTTATTATTCTTTGTCAGTAGCGGTACAGTATACGAGATTATATAATAGAGGTTTAAAAGTGTTAATTTCAGTTCTGAATTATCATTTATCCAAAGAAATACATAATTTTTTAATTCAGCGCATGAAACTGTATTAGAATATCGTTTATTCAAATAAAAATTTAACAGTTCGTCAAACCGAAAAGCGCGGAATGTACTTTCAAATACCATATAACTTAATTCCTCTTAACAAAGTATTTAATATAATATTAAATATTTGCAGTAGAAAATATCTATTTATATATATGTGTATGTTAAAATATTAGTTTTTACTTCCGATCACAATGAAACTACAAAAGTGAGTGCGCGTGTTTGGATGTGTTAGTGGTCATGTTATGGCTGAGAACTTCAGCACGTGAAAGTTATTGGCGTTATGCCAACCAGCCCTCGGTCTTTCCTGTATCAAATTGTATCTGTCTCCACTCTTCTATTCTAAAGTAAGAGAAACAACGTTATAAGCCAAATTTTAATTATACTTCTTTTTTGTCATTTATAATGGAATAGCCCCCCAAAAGTTAAGGTTTAGTTATCTATACCCTTAGAAAGAAAAAAACAAAATTTAGGCATTCACTATAAGAAATTATCGGGAGAGAGCACTCTTCGTACAACATTCATATATTTTGCAATCGTAATTTTCTCCTTTCCGTTCTTCTGTCTCATCATATGATTTTAAACTCTATGTTGTTTTAACATTGTGGGTTTCTGAAGTTTTGTATTGTATTGTTTTAAAATTCTGAGTTTCAGAAGCTTCTCTAAGTGTATTGTGTTAACGTTGTGGGTTTCTGAAGTTTTTTATTGTATTGTTTTAAAATTCTAAGTTTCTGAAGCTTCTTTAAGTGTATTGTGTTAACGTTGTGGGTTATGAAAACTTCTTTATCTGTGTTTTAATTTCAACATTTTGGGTTTTTGGAGCTTCCTTATCTCTTTTGTTTTAGCGTTGATGAAGCTTTTAGTCCCTGTCTTGTGTTAAAGCTGTGGATTTTTAAAAGCCTTGTTATCCCTGTGTTGCTGTATCATACAATTGTCTGCTTTTAACTATTATTATAACAAAAACTAAACAATAATAAAATATTCACTCACAAATATCTAAACCAAACAGTCTTTTATATCATGACAATGTTCTTCTAATAAGTTCACTAGCCCTTGCTTATTTTTACTTTATGGACACTTCTTTAACCCTAGTATGTGCTAAGATACTGCAGCTACTTTCTATGTGCTGCTAGCTCTACCTAATACTGTATGCTTAAACAATACTATTGTACTGTTGCGTATCTGCTTGTTTGTTACTTTCCCGTAGAAATTATTTTCGAGAAACTTCGGCGATTCAAGGCCTTTCTTGATTAAAACTAGTTT